GGTTACTGCAATACTCTCGTCTTTATCGCCGTTCAGCAACCATCAATACTGCTTTCTCACTGAGCTCTTCAAAAATTCAGTCTGTGATTTTTCATACTCCGGTTGAGAAATTCATCATCGTAGTCAATCAATATTTCAAAACTCCTTCCATAAGGCACAGATTCTTCAATCCACATGCTTAAATCATAAACACAGCAGACATTACGCAAATGAAAAGATTGCGATTCGGCCTCATAAGCAACTGCATATGATGAGAACAGTAAGAAAGAGTGAGCAGACGTAGAAATTCTTGAACGCTGATCACAGAAAGGGAACCAGCCTGCTATCGAGCTGAAGCTTCAATTGAAGACTTATTTATTCTGAAATGAATTTCAGAATCTACTCGCATTGTTTCATCTGGAATCAGTTCCTTTCTGCATCGATAAATAAAAACATACCACGCCGAAACGCATCTGACACAACTGCTGGTGTCTTTGACAGTGCGAATTAATCAGTTGGAAAAAAAGAAGTATGAACAACATTCGAATGTGATAGTTTCGCGCACATATCGCAAAACAATCGACAAACGGGAGAAACAATCAATCGTTTGGAGTGCACCAAACGCAAATGACTCAGTGGATACTTTCCATCATGGCACACATTAGATGCAATTCTGGATCATTTGCGTTGAACAACATCAACTGGTGGTTATATGACACCCGATTTTGCTATTCGTTTCTTTCTTGTGCTCATTTTTCTTTTCGAATCACCCAAGTTCTCTTAGAGAAGAGGTGGATGGATGAGTAGCAGTTGCACTCATTCGCATTCGAAACGACTTCTCTGCCGAACAAAACAAAGAATACGCTTTTACAACGTACAACGAGACCACTTATAGATGTACGCACTAGTGTGTACATGCTCTAATCGATCGTTTTTCAACTGAAAATTTACAGAAGACGTAAAAATCTAGGACAAGCATAAAGAATAACGACTGTAAGTAATAAAAAACAAAATCACGAATTTGATACCGTGGAGAAGTAAACTTTCAAGTGTTGATTACGTACTAACACTTACTGCAGTGATTAACTTGCCTTTTTGCTCTCTATCACTTTTTCAGTATTCCTTAAATGATCGATGATGCTTGATGTGATGATCCCAGTTTGTTTCAAACGATCGTGTACAGCTACAACTGCCTAATTTGGTTTGCATCCGTCCAATCATCAAAATCTATTCGCTAGAGTCTCAAGCCCGAAGGAGAAAAGAAGATGAGTTGATAAACAAATGCCTAAAGGACGGCAAGCATACCGATACGATCGACTAGGTTCACTATAATCACACGACGAAACGATTATGAAATAGCAGTGACAGCAGCATCACCTCGATGATGCGTCATAAATGAATCATCATCAGACAAACTCGAATGTCTTTTGTTAAATTTCATTTAGCAGTCGTCATTACACTGAAATGTAATCACGACTGCTAGATTCATGGAAATGTGATGACGATTCCAAGTGATACAACGAAATGCGCCGTGATCTGAAAGATGCATGAAATACATGCACACGTTGTTCATCAGCGAAAATTGTGCAAATGATGGTACTGTTATTTTTCTTTCTCTTCAACAAAGTGCAATTTAATATGAATAAGTACACCGTATCTATGAATCGAAATGAGAGTGAATGGATGAGAATGGAAAATGCAAATGAAATTTGTGAAAACATTAACAAAAGATGAGTTAAATGTGAATAATAAATAAGGCGAACAATGATAAAAATGATGATGACTTCGAGTGGAATGAATTGGTTTGTTAGGATTGGCAATACAATAGTATAAATAGTTGGTTGCATGGAAGAATGGATGGAATGAATTGGTCGGAGGATATTTTGAGTGTTGGGAATGCAGACATCATCAGCATGAGAATGAAACGCACAACGAATGTCAGACACAACGAGTTGGAAAGTTTTTAGTGCGGGCATAATGAAACAATTTTGATTTGATTAGTTGAGTTTGTTTACTTGAGATGTGATTTGATTCGAATCAAATCGATTTCTGGGTAGAAGCACAATACGAGAATTATGAAGCATTAAAAAGAAACAGCGGTATCAATGGAAACAGCGAGAATGTGATGAATCGATAGATGTGAACGTGTTTGTTAGTGTATACATGTGAATATGAACGCGTTAAGCACCTTTTTAAACATTCCTCTTTCTGTTCAACGTCAATTGACCTTGTCGTCACATCTCCTTACTTATCTACCCAACACCGTTGCCTGCTCTTCGACTACTGCTTGCTTATTCAATTTTACACTACCACATTTCCTATTTCTCCTCGATAAAGGCACACAAAACTTTCAATGCGTACGTTACGTACAGAACTGCAGGCGTATAT